CCCCCCGTATTCCTGGGGCTGGGGAATTGTAAGCCACCCCTTCCCCTGCGAAGCCCCCTCCCCTACTGTGGGTAAAGGGGGGAGGGCATCGCCCTCAGGTCCCCCCATGTTCAGCTGCCAAAGAAGGGAGCTCCCCCTCCTTCTCCCAAGCCCATTCCCCCTCTGCCGCCCCCTACCCTCGAGGGGGGGGCGCTCCGTCCATGGGGGGGAGGGTGCTTGCAGCCCTCTCCCCTCACCACGTCAGGGATCTGCGGGGAACCTTGTGGGAGGGTGTGGGAGGGGGGAGGGGTGGCGCTGGGCCCCTACCCGCCCCCTCTCCCTTGTCGGATGCCCCCCGTCCGCAGGGGGCCTGCGCGGCGCCTGTCTATCAAGGGCTTGTTCATTCTGGATGGGTGCCGCGGGGTTGGGGAGGGTGAAGGGGGTGGGGAGGGGGGAGGAGCAGTCGGGTGGGGAGGGGGAAGGGACAGGATGGGGGGGGCAGCGCGGGGCGGTGAGGAGAGACAAAGCAAAAAGAGGAACAATAACAAAAGAAAATACAAAAAAAAAAAAAGAATCCTAGAACACACACAAAAAAAAATCCAGAAAAAAACCTGAAATAAAAGCCCGAGAATTGTCTTCCAAGGGGGGTGGGAGGAGGAAGAGGAGGGGGGCGGATGAGGACGTCTGGTTCTCGCTGAGACCGGGATCGGCACGCGTTGAAAGCCCCGGAGCCCGGGTCTTCCCTCCCGCGGGCCTCAGTTCATCCCTCAAGGGATTGGGACCCAGGCGTCCATTTGCAGGAACTGGGGGAAAATTAGGGAGGCGGGATTATATCATGGGGGTTCGTCCCTACCCCCCATCACCTCCCTCCCCCTGTCTCCCCACCAAGATTTTGCAGAGAGAAATGGCTTTTGTACCAGGTCATTCTTTATAATTAAACTCACAGTATCCACCCCCTCGAGCCGGCCCCGCCTCCTTCCTGGGGAGGCAACGCCCCCTTCCCTCCGGGGTTCCGGGAGGGGAGCCGGAGCCAGCTGGGCGGTGCGCAGGCGCAGCAGGGGCCGGCCCCCACGCGTCAGTCTTCCTCGGTCGGCTCCGCCCCCAGGGCCTCGAGCATGCGCCGTCGGACCAGGGAGCGGCGCAGGTGCAGGCGGTAGTCGCCCCGCAGCAGCTCGTCGTGGCGCACGAGCGGGTGCGCGAGCCCGCGGAGGCGGAGCCCCGAGCGCAGCAGGCGCGAGCGAGTCTGGAAGTCCGTGACCGAGATGAGCCACCTGCGAGGGGGCGGGGCCAAGAGGAGAGGGGCGGGGCGAGACGGCGGGGGGATCGCTGGTGGTCCCGGGCCCGCCTTGGATTGTCCAAGAGTCCCTGCCTGGTCCCTTAACCCGTCACTGCGTCCCTAAGCTCTCCAGCCGTGCCCTCGCGCCGAGGTCAACGTGGACTTCGACCCTCACATGGGTCATTCTGAGGCCCCGTCTTCCCTCTCAGCCTGGTTCTGTCGCCTGATGGAGGTTTGTCGAGGCTTCATCTTTTCAAACCGCCGCTCAGGGGCCCGACTCTCACCCCGCAGCTCCAGGCCCCGCCCTTCAGTGTGGCTCTCAGGCCTGTCCCCTGGTCTAGGTCCCTCCCGGCCCCGCCCCCGACTAGACACTCCAAGCCCCTGCCCACCGCGTCACTTCTGGCCCGGCCCCTACAATGTGCTCAGTCCAGGCTCCGCCCCCTCGTGTTGCCTTCCCGGGCTCCGCCCCCACACCTCGGTCTTTCCCATCCCGTCACCACTCCAGGTCCTGCCTTCTCTGTGATCTCACCGGGCCCTGCCCCCCTCACCGCGCCCACTCTCGGCTCCGCCCCTTCCCGGTTCCCGTTCAGCCCCATCGCCCCGCCCCCGCCCCAGGCCCCGCCCCCTCCTGCCTTTATATACCGGCCCCGCCCACTCAGCTCCTTCGCCGCGACTCCGCCCCCGCCCCCGCGCTCACTAGGCCCCACCCGTCACTGCCTTCACTCCCGGCCCCGCCTCCTAATCGTGCTCACTGATGCCCCGCCCCTCCCGGTCCCTCCAGGCCACGCCCACTTTTCGGTCCTTCCAGGCCCCGCCCCCGGCTCACCACCGCCCCGCCCCTCCCAGTCCCTTCAGGCCCCGCCCACTCATCAGTCCCTCCATGCCCCGCCCCCTGCTCGCCGATGACCCGCCCTTCCCAGTTCCTCTAGGCCACGCCCCTGGCTCCCCGCCGCCCCGCCCCTCCCGGTCCCTCCAGGCCCCGCCCCCGCCGCGGGCTCACCGGTCCCGGCGGCCCGCAGTCCCACAGATGACGTTCATGTTCTCAAAGCGGATGCTGCTCACGCGCCCGCTCTCCATGGCCCCGGGTAACTCGGCCTCCAGCGCCTCCAGCACCTCCAGGTGGGTGAGGTCCTCCTCGGGCTGGGGGAGTCGGAGAGAGAGCCTCAGCCCGGAGCACCCGGGTTCAGAAGTCTCCACCCTAGACCCCACCTGCAGAACCCGCCAGAGTCCCAGGTGGCATTTGAGGGACAAGGATTACACTTGATCCCAGGGTCCTGTCGCTCTTGTCAGAGCAGGGAAAACAGGCATCTCTCAGATAGAAAAGCATCTACTGTCATTCAAGGTCATTCTCCAAAAAACCAGTGCCACCAAGCCCATTTGTCAAAAAGTCAATGAACAGTTGGCTGAATGATTCACCAAGCTACCGAAAACTTTTCTAGCAGTCTGCCTTGGACGGCAAGCTTTTGCCAGCTCTTGAGGACTTCCGTGAGGATTTAAGTCATACATTTTTTCTTTTATATTCATATTAGCATTTTTAAGGAATGTTCAGTTGTCAAAAAATAAGGATCATAGGGGTTTTTGACTTCTTGTCAATCTGTTTAACATTCAGAAACAGATATTGATCACTAGCCACATTTTCAGCATGAGATGACCATGTCAGAGGTGACATACAGTTGTCATAACATATAAAATTGCTGAGGAACCAGAATGAAATAGTGAAATTGGTCACCTCTAGGAAGGCCAGCCTTGGGGGTGTGGGGGAAGGTGGGGTCCCTTGTTCAAAGCCACAAAGAAGAGGAGCAATGGGGTAGGTATTGATCCCTAAAACAGGACAGCAATCCCCGTATGGGGGTAAATTCACAGATCAGCTGAGGGAGCACCTCTGAGGCCTGTGCCTGGTATACAGTAAGCGCCACATCAATTCTCATTTAATTCTCACATGAGTGAGACCCTAACAGATACCTCCTCTGACTGAGAGCAGGGATTGCCAAAGGATTCATACACTGAACGACCAATTCGCTAATCTGTCAAAAACATGGGCTTTGTCTTATGAGTTTTTGCTGTATTTGCAAACTTTACAGAATTTCGTAGTAGGTCGGTTAGCAGGATTCTCTTTGCCCTCAGTCTCCTCTCTCTCTACCTTTCAATCTCCCCCTCTCTCTCCCCCTCGGTCTCCCCTCTGGGATCAGCAGTGAGAAATTTGACAATTCATCCTTTGATAAATTTGCAATCAATTTCCAGCAACCTGTTCTGGTGCCAGGCCCACAGCTGGTGAGCCACAGAGCCTGGATTCAAACGCTTTCCACCTCGATTCTGAGCCTCTGCCCTTTCCACCACCCCGTCCAAAGCCAAGGGGGCAGCGGGGGGGCACTCACCGAGGTCTCCATGCACAGGCAGAGGGGCTGGGCGGCGGGCGGCGTGGGGAACTTCCGGATACACGGCAGCTCCCGGTCCAGCGCCTCGTATTCTGCAATGACCTGGCGCAAGTACTGCTTCCTGCGGAGACAGCGAGCGGGCAGGGCCCTCCCAGGTCAGGGGGCTCGGCCATGGCACTCGGGGGATCTGAGGTCAGAAGTCACGGGGCCGGGCGTCACTCACGAGG